ACTGATGCACTTGGCAGGGGAGGAATGGTCCGGGTGGGGTAGACGCCTGTTCGAGGCGCTACTAACAGCCTGCAACATACGTCATCCGCGTGGTGAAGCGGAAACGGCACGCACCTGGTCACAGGCCTCGCTTCCAGTGTCGCTAGGTGGCCTAGGCCTAACGGACCCAGCGGTTGAGGGCAGTTACAGCTTCCTAGCAAGCTTCACGCAAGCGCAACAGCTGCTTTCCACCATAGATGACTCCAAGATTGGGCCATTAGCAGAAACGAGGGTTCAGATGAGGGGGCCATATACTTCCACTACTCGACTCTATGAGTGGCTAGCAAATTGTGAAGCAGAACTACCGAGTGATGCTGGGGAACTGCTGCAAAGCGACAGGGCGTCACCATCAGGCATAAAATTGCAGCATAGCCTGGCGGTAGCGGTGCAGGGGAAGCGGTATGCTACACAAGTGGAAGCAGTACGGGCTACGACACCAAACCCTAACAACGGGCACACGCAGCGGCTGCTATCGTTGTCTGGATATGGGGCGGGGGATTGGCTCAATGCTGTCCCTCTCATGCCGTCCCTACGCATGGGGAGGCCATATTTTGCAACTGCCCTCAAATTCCGGCTTGGACTACCATTCTCAGCCCCTGGTGCATGCGACTGTAGCAAACACGTAGCGATACCCGACAAGCGCCTCCCCAACCACCTACTTCGCTGCGCCACGGGAGGAGGAAGGACCAACACTCATAACGAGCTCAGGGATGAATGCGTGAGGATGGCTCAATACGCGGGGTTTATGGTGCATGAGGAGTCGGCAGAATTCTGCCCGGTCACGAGGAAGACGGCAGATTTGGCCATTCGGGACCGGACATCGGGTGCAGTGTGGATTTGTGACGTCACCATCACCGATCCTATCAGCACCCGTGACAAGAAGGCAGACAAAGGGAGGGGGTGGGCTGCTAGGGAGGCTGCGGATAAGAAGATCTCGGGCTACAGCGGCTCCCCAGCAGCCTACGTTGAGTTTGTGCCCCTCGCCGTAGAGACATACGGCTGCCCGTGCGAGGAGGTCCCCAAGTTTTTAAAGCTTCTAGCTGACACCGCAGCCCGTAAGCTCTTCAATGCAGAGCCCTCGACCTACCAAGCGGCCAAACTACTCCAACAATTCCGCCAAAGGTGGTCTGTGGCGTTGCAAAGGGGGCAGGCCGTGAGTTACATGGCCAAATGCAACGAAGCGGCTGCAGTAGAGAACCCACCTGTTGGGGCCGCGGGAGAGGAGATGTCCCTGGGGGACTGTTTTGCTGTGCTTGAGCCGATGGTGGAGCTCCCTTAGGGGCTGCTTGGGGGGGGGTAGGGGTGGTAGGATGTTTGGTTTGCTGGTGTTTAGTGTTGCTGGTTTAGCTTGATTCTCTGCATATTTGTACTTGCCCCTTTTATCAATAACGGAGCTTGAGAGAGAGAGAGAGAGAGAGAGAGAGAGAGAGAGAGAGTGTGTGTGTGTGTGTGTGTGTGTGTGTGTGTGTGTGTGTGTGTGTGTGTGTGTGTGTGTGTGTGTGTGTGTGTGTGTGTGTGTGTGTGTGTGTGGGTGTGTGTGTGTGTGTGTGTGCGTGCGCGTGTGTGTGCGTGCGCGCGTGCGTGCGCGCGTGCGGGCGCGCGAGCGTGCGGGCGCGCGCGCGGGCGGGAGCGCGCGGGGCGCGCGCGGGGCGGGGCGCGCGGGCGGCGCGAGCGCGCGGCGCGCGAGCGCGGGGGGGCGCGCGCGGGCGCGCGTGCGTGCGTGCGTGCGCGCGTGCGTGCGTGTGTGTGTGTCTGTGTTTGTGTGTGTGTGTGTTGTGTGTGTGTGTGTGTGTGTGTGTGTGTGTTGTGTGTGTGTGTGTGTGTGTGTGTGTGTGTGTGTGTGTTGTGTGTGTGTGTGTGTGTGTGTGTGTGTGTGTGTGTGTGTGTGTGTGTGTGTGTGTGTGGTGTGTGTGTGTGTGTGTGTGTGTGTGTGTGTGTGTGTGTGTGTGTGTGTGTGTGTGTGTGTGTGTGTGTGTGTGTGTGTGTGTGTGTGTGTGTGTGTGTGTGTGGTGTGTGTGTGTGTGTGTGTGTGTGTGTGTGTGTGTGTGTGTGTGTGTGTGTGTGTGTGTGTGTGTGTGTGTGTGTGTGTGTGTGTGTGTGTGTGTGTGTGTGTGTGTGTGTGTGTGTGTGTGTGTGTGTGTGTGTGTGTGTGTGTGTGTGTGTGTCTGTGTGTGTGTGTGTGTGTGTGTGTGTGTGTCTGTGTGTGTGTGTGTGTGTGTGTGTGTGTGTGTGTGTGTGTGTTGTGTGTGTGTGTGTGTGTGTGTGTGTGTGTGTGTGTGTGTGTGTGGTGTGTGTGTGTGTGGTGTGTGTGTGTGTGTGTGTGTGTGTGTGTGTGTGTGTGTGTGTGTGTGTGTGTTGTGTGTGTGTGTGTGTGTGTGTGTGTGTGTGTGTGTGTGTGTGTGTGTGTGTGTGTGTGTGTGTGTGTGTGTGTGTGTGTGTGTGTGTTGTGTGTGTGTGTGTGTGTGTGTGTGTGTGTGTGTGTGTGTGTGTGTGTTGTGTGTGTGTGTGTGTGTGTGTGTGTGTGTGTGTGTGTGTGTGTGTGTGTGTGTGTGTGTGTGTGTGTGTGTGTGTGTGTGTGTGTGTGTGTGTGTGTGTGTGTGTGTATCTGTGTGTGTGTTTGTGTTTGTGTGTGTGTGTGTCACAGAAACTACAGGTCGGAATGAATGAACAAGATGACAGTTGGGTACAAATATGAAACCCTAAAGAGGTTGTACCCCATATTGCCTTCCCCACTACAGCCTACACAACTATAGTTCATATATAATTTAACATACCCCCATAGGCAAAGTGGGGGAGAGCAAGGGGTCACAAGACCAGTCAAGCAAAGCAAGGCAAGGCAAGCTCAGGGTGGATCACAACGTCACCACAAACACTGAGCACAAGCAAAGGGCCACAAGGCCAGTTCACATGCAGAGATATATTTACAGCAATAACAGCACAGTGATCACTACCTAGCAAGAGCAAGCATGCAGGTAAATATATATAGATCACAGTACAAGCAAAGTCTACAGCAAGTGCGGAAACGTAGGCACAAGGCCTAACAAAGTACAAAAGCGCTGATGATCACTAGACGGAAGTGCCTTGGTGAATATATCAGCAGTGTTGGCCCGAATGGCCACGTGAGCAAGACGAAGCTGACCACGCTGCTGCAACTCTTGAGCCAGGAAGTAACGCAGAGCAATGTGCTTCGTTCAGTGCTCCAGTCTGTGCTCCTCACACAAGGCAATGGCCGCCTTGTTGTCAACATACAGAACTGGAGGAGAACGAGGCCGCTCTCCTAGGTCAGCCAGCGTAACTCCTGTGCAGCCATGGCTGTGGCATAGAACTCAGCCTCTCAACTGGAGCTGAGAATAGATGATGAGCGTGTAGACCGCCAAGAAACAGAGCCAGAGCCAAGACTGAAGGTGTAACCCTGTGACGACCGCTGCGTAGCCAGGTCGTCAACCCAAGAAGCGTCTGAGTGCCCAGTGAGGACAACGTCGCCCCGTCCTCCAAGCACGAGCCCCATGCCCGATGTGCTGCACAAGTAGCGCAGTACCCTCTTAGCAGCATCCATGTGCACCTTTCGGTGCCTACCAGGAGCCACGTAGCGAGCCAGAAGGCCAAGAGGGTACGCAAGGTCAGGTCGAGTGCAGGTCATCAAGTACATGAGGCAGCCCACTAGCTCTGGGTAAGGACCACTCGGCTCTACGGACTCGTCCGAAGGTGGAGCTGAGAGCGAGTCACTTGTAGCCAGAGGAGTGGACTATGGGGAGGATCAAAGAGGTGAAGTCGAAGCGCTGAAGGACCTGCTGCACCATGTGTGACTGAGTCAGTGTGATGGTGCGGCGTGCTCTGTCCCGGGTAATCTGCAAGCCAAGGTAGCTGCGCAGCTCACCCAGGTCAGTGCACGTGTGTCTCTTCTGCAGCTCCGACTTCACCAGGGCGAGAGCCTCAGTGTCAGCAGTGGCAAAGACCAAGTCGTCGACGTACACGAGGATGTAGAACGGTGGCAGCGAAGTGTCGGTGCGCAGAAACAACGACGGGTCAGCAGTCGAAGGAGCAAACCCAAGAGCCGCAAGTGTCGTCCTCAGTGTGTCGTGCCACTCACGAGGCACCTGGCGGAGACCGTAGACTGGCCGCCGGAGGCTCCACTGGGTACCAGGAGGAAACGACCCAGTAAAGCCAGGTGGGCGGCGCAGCCAGATCTCCTCGTGCAGGCTGCCCTGTAAGAAAGCTGTGCTGAAGTCAAGAGAGTGAAGCTCATAATCTTGCTGAGCGGCAATGTGCAGCAGCACCCGAAGAGTGGTCATCTTCGTGGTGGGGGAGAAGGTCTGGAAGAAGTCAACTCCCTGTTGCTGACTGAAGCCTCGAGCAACGTAACGAGCCTTGAAGACAGGCGGAGAACCCGGCGGCCGCTTCACCCTGAAAATCCACATGCCATCGACGGTGTTCGCCCCCGGGGGGGTGGGGAGGAGGGGGGACCTCATCGACTTAAAGCGGCGGTATACATTTGACACTACTGTTTGAGGCTCTACAGTTCGTAGGGCGATTTCGCCACAACGAAAGAAAAAATGACTGGCGAGAGGGCTTGCGAAAATTCGAAACGGGGGTGCTTCGAGGGAACTAGGGTTGGGGGGATCACAAAACTGAAATTGCTCCCGTCACCAAACTACAAAGCTACGCTCACACACTTGGCGATAGAATCAGCGACTACTTATTACGAATTCCCGCGGTATAGCTAACCAAGTTGGGCTAGAAGCTGCTGTACCGACAGCGTGACTGCTCATATAGTCGCGCGTGAGTAACTGCACGTACAGGTTAGGCTACGCCGTGAAAAAGACAATAAATCGAACCCACCATCTACCTTTCAGTAGTCCCTCCGCTTTGCATTCGGACTGCCACCGCGTGGCATTTGTCGAGCCCGCCGTGTATGCAGCGCGCCCGTCTTAACCTATTTCGTAAGCTCAACGGAGAGTTGCATGCGGCGGGATCGCCGCAATGCAATTGTTGAATTCAAAATCGACACATTAGGTAAGACATCCGTCTGCCCACCTTCCTGCCCCGCCGTGTTGCCCTCGGCAGGCTCAACGCGTTCCATGCGTTGGCCAGGCCGGCGGGCTTAGCACGTCACCCGCGTAGCGCATCACCCGCGTAGCGCGTCACCCGCGTAGCGCGTCACCCGCGTAGCGTATCACCCTCGTATCCATCCTCCGGGCGTAGCGCTTCACCCGCTTAGCGCGTCCCCGCTTAGCGCGTCCCCGCTTAGCGCGTCACCCGCTTGCGTCACCCGCTGCCAACCGCTTGTTTCCCCTTGTGCTTTCCCCATCCCTTTCCCCCTTGCGTCCCCTCGTTTCTCCCCCTGCATCCCCTCCTTTCCCCCACTACTTCCCCTCTTTTTTCCCCACTGCTTCCCCTCCTTTCCCCCATTGCTTCCCCTCCTTTCCCCCACTGCTTCCCCTCCTTTCCCCCACTGCTTCCCCTCCTTTCCCCCACTGCATCCCTCCTTTCCCCCCCGTGCTTCCCCTGCTTTCCCCCGCTGCGTCCCCTCCTTTCCTCCCCTCCTCCCCCCGTTTTCCCCACTGCTTCCCTCCTTTCCTCCACTGCTTCCCCTCCCTTTTCCCCGTTGCTTCCCCTCCTTTCCCCCACTGTTTCGCCTCCTTTCCCCCACTTCTTCCCCTCCTTTCCCCCACTGCTTCCCTCCTTTACCCCACTACTTCCCTCCTTTCCCCCACTGCTTCCCCTCCTTTCCCCCACTGCATCCCTGCTTTCCCCCCCGTGCTTCCCCTGCTTTCCCCCGCTGCGTCCCCTCCTTTCCTCCCCTCCTCCCCCCGTTTTCCTCACTGCTTCCACACCTTTCCTCCACTGCTTCCCCTCCTTTCCCCCACTGCTTCGCCTCCTTTCCCCCACTGCTTCCCCTCCTTTCCCCCACTGCATCCCTCCTTTCCCCCCCGTGCTTCCCCTGCTTTCCCCCGCTGCGTCCCCTCCTTTCCTCCCCTCCTCCCCCCGTTTTCCCCACTGCTTCCACACCCTTCCTCCACTGCTTCACCTCCTTTTCCCTGCTGCTTCCGCTCCTTTCCCCCACCCCTTCCCCTCCTTTCCCCCACTGCTTCCCCTCCTTTCGCTCACAGCTTCCCCTCCTTTCCCCCACTGCATCCCTCCTTTCCCCCCCGTGCTTCCCCTGCTTTCCCCCGCTGCGTCCCCTCCTTTCCTCCCCTCCTCCCCCCGTTTTCCCCACTGCTTCCACACCTTTCCTCCACTGCTTCCCCTCCTTTCCCCCACTGCTTCGCCTCCTTTCCCCCACTGCTTCCCCTCCTTTCCCCCACTGCATCCCTCCTTTCCCCCCCGTGCTTCCCCTGCTTTCCCCCGCTGCGTCCCCTCCTTTCCTCCCCTCCTCCCCCCGTTTTCCCCACTGCTTCCACACCTTTCCTCCACTGCTTCCCCTCCTTTTTCCCCGCTGCTTCCCCTCCTTTCCCCCACTGCTTCGCCTCCTTTCCCCCACTGCTTCCCTCCTTTCCCCCACTGCTTCCCCTCCTTTCCCCCACTGCATCCCTCCTTTCCCCCCCGTGCTTCCCCTGCTTCCCCTGCTGCGTCCCCTCCTTTCCACACCTTTCCTCCACTGCTTCCCCTCCTTTTCCCTGCTGCTTCCCCTCCTTTCCCCCACTCCTTCCCCTCCTTTCCCCCACTGCTTCCCCTCCTTTCCCCCACTGCATCCCTCCTTACGTGCGGTTCCCTTGGTTAACCCTCCCTCCCTCCCCCTACCCACTGTTTCCACTTTCCACCTCCAGTACCGTATTACCACCAGCGTACTACCACCCTCTCCATGCATCCCTCCGCTTCCCGTGGGGCACAGGAATGTGGGCATGCAACCTGCCGCAACACCGCTCCATGTGATCACCGTCACCCCATCTCTGCCTCACCCCATCTCTGCCTCACCCCATCTCTGCCTCACCCCATCTCTGCCTCACCCCATCTCTGCCTCACCCCATCTCTGCCTCACCCCATCTCTGCCTCACCCCATCTCTGCCTCACCCCATCTCTGCCTCACCCCATCTCTGCCTCACCCCATCTCTGCCTCACCCCATCTCTGCCTCACCCCATCTCTGCCTCACCCCATCTCTGCTTCACCCCATCTCTGCCTCACCCCATCTCTTCCTTACCCCATCTCTGCCTCACCCCATCTCTGCCTCACCCCATCTCTTCCTTACCCCATCTCTGCCTCATCCCATCTCTGCCTCACCCCATCTCTTCCTTACCCCATCTCTTCGCACCCCATCCATCTTTTACGACGCCCTTCTCACCCCATTCATCCTTAATGCATCCCTTTTCACCCCATCCATCCTCACCCCATCCCTTCTCACCCCATCCATCGTTTACGCATCCCTTCTCTCCCCCATCCCTCCTTGCCACCATCCCCTTAGGTTTGGGGCGCTGTGGATGGACAGCGTCGCCTACAAGTAGAAGTTGGCTGCTTACTTGACCGATTGGGAGTCACGAAGTATCAACAGGACTAGGCAAGAATGATTGAAAGGAGAGGGGTTTCACTAGCAGCAGTTGGGGTACATATAGCAAACCCTAACTGGGTTGTACTCGCTATAGAGCACCCCACTACAGGCTAGACAATAATAACATTCTGACACACCCCCATAGCCAAAGTGGGGTGTAATCAGTACAATGAGCAGGCATAGCAATAGTTCACAATTATAAGCAAAGCTAGAGGTGATCATAGAGGGCAAGTGAGGAGGAGGAGAAACTGTGAGGGCGAGAAGATGAAAGGCGCCGACTGAAGCTGCAGACACACGGGCAACAGGAGCGGCGCGCACAGTGGCTACCGAGCGCACGAGGGCACCGGACTACGGGAGTATCTGGCTCCGCGGCTACGACGAGCACACACAGGAGCAACGGACCCACAGGCGACTGGCGAAGCAGGCTCGCTGGGCTACCGAAACGCGCGAGGGCATCCGGACTACTGGCGCTGCTGGCGTCACGACGGCTACCTCCACGCAACCTCCCCCGACCGTCCCACGCCCCTCTCACACACCCCCTGCTGACACCCTAGCTCCACTTCCACGGCACCCCCCTTAAACCCTAAACCCTCGGCTCCCACACACCCACCCCCCTCAGCGGCAGCTGCAGCAGTGGGAGACGGAGGAGGAGGAGGAGCCGCAGGTTACCCACACCGGTCACCCCCATGCCCGCCACCCCCAAACCCTAACGCAGGCAGGAGCGCGGGAAACAGCAGGGGCGGGGCACGGAGGGAAAGGGAGGCAGCGGGGTGGCTCTTGGGCGCCACGAAGAAGCAGGGCGCGGGCCCCCCGAGGGCGCCACGGCGGGTGACGGGAGGGGGGCCGCGCACGGGCCCCCGAGGGCGGCTCGACGGGCGACGGGAGGGGCCGCGCGCGGGCCCCCTAGGCGCCGCGACGAGGCGACGGGAGGGGGCGGCGCGCGGGCCCCCAAGGTGCCGCGACGAGGCGACGGGAGGGGGGGGACGCGCGGGCCCCCAGGGCGCCGCGACGAGGCGACGGGAGGAGGACGACGGGGGGCAGCGCGCAGGTCCCCGGGGGCGCCACGACGGGCAGGAAACCGCCGCGCGCCTCGGGGCGCACGGCGGGCAGAAAACCGCCGTACGCCCTGAGCGCACGGCGGGATGAAAAACCCTAAAATTTTTAGCCGGCAGGAAGAAGACGGCGCGCGCCCGAGGCGTGCGAGAAGCAGAATAGCAGCGGAAGCAGTTAGGTGGCGGGCCCACCCACAGGATCGACCCAAGGGGGTCGACCTGCTCTGATAGCATGTCAACAGGACTAGGCAAGAATGATTGAAAGGAGAGGGGTTTCACTAGCAGCAGTTGGGGTACATATAGCAAACCCTAACTGGGTTGTACTCGCTATAGAGCACCCCACTACAGGCTAGACAATAATAACATTCTGACACGAAGTTAGTACCATATGCATGGATTGCTTAGTGCCTTTACTTGTAACCAAACTGCAATGATTACATACTGTGTTATAGTACAGTACATGCTATAAAATGGTGATGTTTGCAACCAGTAATGATGTCACACAACACCGCGGTCAACTACCGTAAAAAACAATGAAACAAGCGTTTGATGGCACAATTTGTCAGGTCAGTAAGAAATACTGCATTGGGAAGAGAGTGGGTGTGTTTACGGTATGTGCTAATGTTCAAGGTGGCAGATTACATGCTTCCATCAACCAAAGACAGGCCGAGTGACCATGAGGCTCGCTGCTTTGCTCGTGGCCGTTGCCACGCTCCCCTGCCATTCACTTTGTCATCGCTGCCTATCCATGCCAAGATGGCTGGCACGTAGGTTGCTTGTGAGGCGCAGATAGTAAGATGTACAGTCGTGAAGGTACCCCACCTGCAACACAAGCACAGAAACAGATCAAGGGAATGTAATGTGTGGGCTGTTGGAGACGAGAATGAAACTAGTGTGGGATGTAGTGGAGAGGTGGCTTTGATGTGAGGGGACTGGCACAGGTGGTAAGATGTGCGGAGGGGGACAACCCGCCTGCAAGAGAAGCACGGATGGGGAGGGGCTGGAAAGGGATGGGAGGGGCTGGAAGGGGATGGGAGGGGCTGGAAGGGGATGGGAGGGGCTGGAAGGGGATGGGAGGGGCTAGAAGGGGATGGGAGGGTATGGAAGGGGATGGGAGGGTATGGAAGGGGATAGGAGGGTATGGAAGGGGATGGGAGGGTATGGAAGGGGATGGGGGGGTATGGAAGGGGATGGGAGGGTATGGAAGGGGATGGGAGGGTATGGAAGGGGATGGGAGGGTATGGAAGGGGATGGCAGGGTATGGCTGCGGTATGATAGGGTAGAAATCATCGCTGGAATAACGTGCATGGAAAAAATGGTGCTGGCAAGCGAAAGGGGTGGTGGGAAGCATGAAGGGGGGATGGGAAGGCAGGAGAAAGAGGTGGTGGGGGGCATGAGGGAAGGAGGGAAGGGAGGGAAGGAGGGAAGGGAGGGAAGGAGGGAAGGAGGGAAGGGAGGAAGGGAGGAAAGAGAGAAAAGGCTGGGAAGGTTGATAAGGGAGGGAAGAGATGGAAGGGAGGGTAGGGAGGGAAGGGAGGCGGAGGGAAGGTAGGGAAGGGAGGAAAGGGAGGGAAGGGAGGCGGAAGCAAGGATGAAAAATACGGTTTTCGTAAAAAACGGTCCGTTTTTTACGATCCGTTTCTTACGGTAATTTTCCAAAAAAACGGCGTTTTTTTGTTAGAAAACTGTCGTCACCAAGAAAAAAAGGGAAAAACAAGGTCAAATACATTTTCAATCATGCCCACAAGCGCACTCATGCAAGGAGGTGTTTGTCCTCTTCATGCTGGTGATTTTCGCCATCAATTTTGTCCCATAAATGGCTGATTTTTTCTTCGAACGAAACCACCTTCTGGAACCGTTTTTTACCGTTTTTTACGGCCGTTTTTTACGGTCGTTTTTTACGGCCGTTTTTTACAGTAAATTTTCAAAAAAACGGCGTTTTTTTTAACCTTGGGCGGAAGGAAGGTAGGGAAGGGAGGGAAGGGAGGAAAGGGAGGGAAGGGAGATGCAGGGAGAGAAAGGAGAGAAGGGAGGGAAGGGAGAGGAGGGAGAGAACGGCGTAACGGGAGAGAAGGGAAATTGTGGGGAGGTAAGAGAGGGAAGGGAGGGAAGTCTGCAAGAGTAGGGAAGAGAGCGAAGAGAGGGAAGGGAGAGAAGGGAGGGAAGGGAGATAAGGGAGGGAAGGGAGGGAAGGGAGGGAAGGGAGAAAAGGGCCCGGAAAGGGAGGTAGGTGAGGGAAGGGAGGGAAGGGAGGGAAGGGAGGGAAGGGAGAAAAGTGCCCGGAAAGGGAGGTAGGTGAGGGAAGGGAGGGAATGGAGGCAAGGGAGGGAGGGACGGAAGGGCCTGAAGGGCGGGAAGGGAGAGAAGGGCGGGGAGGGTGAGAAGGGAGGGAAGGGAGAGAAGGAGAAGGGAGAGAAGGGAGGGAGGGGGAAGGGAGGGAAGGGAGGGAGGGAAGGGAGAGACGGGAGGGAAGGAAGGGAGGGAGGGAGGGAGGGCAGGGAGAGGGAGGGAGGGACGGGAGGGAGGGGGGTCAGGGAGGGACGGGAGGGAGGGGAGGGAAGGGGGGACGGGAGGGAGGGGAGGGAAGGGAGGGAGGGAGGGAGGGAGGGAGGGAGGGAGGGAGGGAGGGAGGGAGGGAGGGAGGGAGGGACGGGAGGGACGGGAGGGAAGGGAGGGACGGGAGGGACGAAACGGAAGGGGAGGATGGGAGGGAAGTGATGAAAGGGATGGAAGGGATGGAAGGCAGGGAAGGCAGGGAAGGGAGGGAAGCGGAGATGCAGGTAGGGATGTGGCGGAATGAAATTGGATGGGGAGATAATGGGGACATGGGGATGCAGGGAGGGGGGATGGGGATGCAGTGAGAGGAGGTGTGGATGCAGGGAGGCGGTAAGAAGAGAAGGGGAGGTTTGAAGGGAAGAATTGGAGGCGGTTATGGGAGATCGGGAGGCCGTAAAGTGGGAGAGGGCAGCGGACTGAAGATATTGGGAGGCGCACGAGGGCCCGCAGTGCGTGGCGCGGCCCGCGTGATCGCGGTGGCGTGAGGAGGCAGCGTGGGGCTTTGAGGCGCCGCTTTGCATTCGGATTTGCGGCGCGACGCCGCGCGCGGATTTGGTGGTACGAGAAGCTGTGCGGGGATTTACGGCGAGGCGACACCGCGTGCGGATTTGCGTCAATGCGACTTAGCGTGCGGATTTGCGGCGATGCGACTTAGCGCGCGGATTTGCGGCGATGCGACTTAGCGTGCGGATTTGCGGCAATGCGACGCCGCCTTGGGCTTTGAGGCGAGCGGGAGGAGGCAGCAAGTTGCGGTGGGGCGAGGACGCTACTAGGGGCTCGA